GCGCTGGGGGTGGGCGCGGGCTCTGTGCGCAGCGACCCATCTTCCAATCATGGAATTGTAGGGGTTGGAAAGAGCCTTACAGATTATTTAGTCACAACCCCCTGCCCTGGGCAGGGACACCTCCCATTAGACCAGGTTGCTCAAGGCCTCATTCAACCTGGCTTTGAACACCGCCAGGGTTGGGGCATCCACAAACTCCCTGGGCGACCTGTTCCAGTGTCTCACCACCCTCACAGGAAAAAACTTTTTCCTAATATCTAACCTAAACTTCCCCTCCTTCAATTTGGACCCACTATCCCTTGTCCTAGCATTGCAGTTCCTAACAAAGAGTCCCTCTCCGACTCCCTTGTAGGCTCTTCAGATATTGAGAAGTTGCTATGAGGTCTCCACACAGTCTTCTCCAGGCTGAACAGCCCCAACTTCCTCAGCCTATCTTCATATGGGAGATGCTCCAGTCCTCTTATCAACTTTGTGGCCCTTCTCTGGACTTGCTCTAACAGTTCCACGTCCTTTTTCTGTTGAGGGCACCAGAACTGCACATAGTATTCCAGGTGGGGTCTCACAAAAGGAGTAAAGGGGCAGAATCACCTCCTTTGACCTGCTGGCCACACTCTTTTTGATACAGCCCCGGATTAAATTGGCTTTCTGGGCTCTAGCACACACTGCAGCTCATGGTGAGTTTCTCATCCACTATCACTCCCAAATCTTTCTCCTCATTGCTTCTCTCAATTACTTCTCCACCCAACCTGTAGGTGTGCCTGGGATTGCCATGACCCAGATATAGGACCTTGCACTTTCTTTTGCTGAACTTCATGAGGTTTGCATTGTCCCACCTCTCAAGCCTGTCAAGTTCCCTCTGGAAGGCACATTCCTTCCCTCGAGCATGTCAACTGCCCCACACAGCTTGGTGTCATCAGTGAACTTGCTGAAGGAGCACTCAATCCCACTATCCATGTTGCTGACAAAGATGTTGAACAGTATCAGCCCCAGCACTGACCCCTGAGGGACACCACTTGTCACTGGCCTCCATGTGGACAATGAGACACTGACCACAACTCCCTGAGTGTGACCATCCAGTCAGTTCTTTATCCACTGAGTGGTCCACCCATCAAATCCATGGCTCTCCAATTTAGAGACAAGGATGTTATGCAGGACAGTGTCAAACGCTTTGCATAACTCCAGGTAGACGATACCAGTTGCTCTGCCCCTATCTACAAATTCAGTGGCCCCATCATAGAAGGCCACCAAATTTGTCAGGCATGACTTGCCCCTGGCAAAGCCATGTTGGCTATTACCAATCAGTTCTTTGCTTTTCATGTGCTTAAGCTTAGCCTGCGGGAGAATATGCTCCATGACCTTGCCAGACACAGAGGTGAGACTGACTGGTCTATAGTTTCCCGGTTCTTCCATAAATGCAGGGAGACTTCCAGCATCCCCAGGGCCGTCACAGAGCTGCGGCAGTCTTCTACGCTTACAAGGACTTTGGATTTGGGAAAGTTTCACCCAGAGGCAAATCTACCCTTGTCAAATGACACCACTGTGAAGTATTGCTAAAAAAGTGTTCAGGTCCATACCAGAGATCTGAATGTTAGGAATTTTACTGGATCTACATAGATAATATTTAATCAATATTCAATTTAATAAAAATATTTAATCTGCTTTTTCTGACCTGCAATTTTCATACAGTATCCATATATTAACATTCATTGATACAACTTTGTTCAAACCAGACTCAAAAACACAGGCAGCATAATGCACCCTGTATTACAGGACTGCAAACTTGTGAACTCAGAAGGCTGAGGGTCAATTCACAGTTTTGGAGTGTGCTGTAAGGGAGCTCAATCCTTGGTAAACTGCTGCTTTTCCACAAATAAAACTCTTCAGCTACAGATGTAGTGGAGCCACCACAGCATGTCTCTTACATGCATACACACTTAAACCTACAAAAAATTCTTATGCCTTAGAGTAGGCATCCTACCTCATCCTGTTAGCATGAGCAAGACTCTTGAAAACTTGTTCAGCCTTGAGAAGAGACAGCTGAGAGGGGACCTCATCAATGTCTATCAGTGTCTGAAGGAGGTGTCAGAGGATGGAGCCAGGCTCTGCTTGTGGTGCTGAGCAGTAAGACAAGAGGCAACGTGCAGAAACCGATGCATGCCAAGCTCCACCTGAGCTCATGGAAGAGCTTCTTTCCTGTGCAGTTGATCAAGCACTGGAACAGATCACCCAGAAAGGCTGTAGAGTCCACCTCTGGAGATGTTCCAGAACCATCAGGATGCAGTCCTGTGCCATGTGCTCTAAGATGACCCTGCTTGAGCTGTGGTCCCTTCCAACCAGACCAATTCTGTGATGCTGTGCTCCCTCCTTTTAATCTCATGTCTTAATAAACTTTCAGGTAGAAAGTACATGAAAAAATTTTTACAAAAAAAGTCTTCATGTAGCATATGTAAACAGTAACACATAGTGTAAGCATCACATTTCCTCTCCTGAGATATCCACACTGCATTTTTATCTCTTCTTATTCATATATTCATTCATCTATAGTCCTGTAACTGCCCCATAGATTATCAAACATTGTAATTAGATTTGTGTAATTAGATATGTACCCTAATCTCCTTAAAACCAGAAACTGTAATAAAAGAATCAATCACAGTCATTTTCATTATCCAGGATTTCACTGGATACTTGTTCTCATCGAAAACTGGATTCATTATATAAACCATTCCCTCTCTGACCAAGTGCTGTAGAACAGCTAAGGAATCTGTCATGAGGATTAATTTACCAACATAAGCACTGGGGCCTGTGCTGATCTTCAAACCCTTCAATGCCCTTCAACCCCAAAGTACATTCGAAAAATGTCAGCACATCCCTTTTCTTCTAAAAAATTATATAGTTGCCCCAAATCCATATGATTTCCCCTAGCACCATGTGCATCAAAACATTTTTCTTCCAAAGTGGAGAATTTTCGTTGTTTCTGAATCTCGTCGTGTCCTCCACCTTCCAAAGCAACATCTTCTCTGTGCCGAATGAGAATTCTTTTCCATGTTAATCTTCTTATTCTGAAATCAATTGGAGAAATATTAACCTGTCTATAAAATAAAGACTGTTTTAGGAAATACTATGGAATAACTATTATCACAAAAGTCAATAAATTCCACTTGTGTATATCTATCTCAACAGAGATAATGGTTCAAGAGCTGGTCATACATATAGTACTCACATGAGCACAATCCCACAAGCAGAAGCTTGTTTCTTTATATCTCCTCAGGATTCACAAACCTTAATGATATTCCTCACAAAATAATGAAGATGTGGTTTCCACTTCAGTGGCCACGTCTGCCTTGCCTGTGCTAAGAATTCTCACACTCTCTTAGCTGTTATAAATTACAAAGTTCATTCACTCTGCGCCATCCAGAAGTATATAAGATGGTATATGGGATATATATATATAAATATTGGACAGATATATATAGATATGGGATATATACATATATAAAAATGATGTATAATATATATATATCTAACATGACTGAAGTACTGCAGTCCATCTTTACAAAAGTGATATAGAAAGGAAAATAAAACAGAAGTAAGTGTGCACCATGCAGTCCTAGTTGCTTTGAAAGCTTCAACCAACAGTACAGTAGATATTCAGAGTTGCAAATACATTATGATAAACACAAATACTTTGCAGGTTTTTACAGGTTGGAAGGTGGTTGGATTTCCCACCTTCTAGCCACATGTACCACATATCATATTCTAACTACTAATAGCATTTAAATACAAAGGAGAAACTAACCTTGACCAGAACTCTTCACAACTACTTTGTAAACCTTCTACACAAACAACACCTGGTTTCCCTGGCATGCAAAACCCTGACAGAGAGAGCTCCTTGGCCCAGTCAATAATATTCTTTCTTTTTCGCTTGTTGTAAATGTGATGACTATAGATCCACAATCGAGTGAACGTGGTGACTTCTGAGGGTGTGGCATCTGAAGTTGTCACTGAAGAAGATGAAAGCTCTTTGTCAATGTAAGCAGCTGCATGGTCTTTCACCCATTCCCTTGCACTCAACATACAGGGCTCACCACTGCAGTTTTGCATCAAATATGTTTTTAGATCAGAGTTCAGACGAATCTGCTGAGAGCGGCTTAATAATGCCGACCTAAAGAAAAAGAAAGACATAAATGTACTGATCACATGCTTACAATTTAGCATTTTATAATCACAGAATCATAGAATCTTTCAGGTTGAAAGATCAACCAAGATCATAAAGTCCAGCCTTTGACTGATCACCTTGTCAGCTAGACCAGAGCACTAAGTGCCATGTCCAGTTGTTACCTGAACACCTCCAGGGATGGTGATTTCACCACCACCCTGGGCAGGCTGGTCCAATGCCTAACAGCCCCTTCCATAAAGAAATTCTTTCTGATGTCCAACCTGAACCTCACTTGGCACAGCTTGAGGCCATTTCCTCTCATTCTGTTGCTAGTTGCCTGGGTGAAGACGCTGACCCCAACCTGGCTACAACCTCCTTTTAGGTAGTTGTAGAGAGTGATGAGGTCTCCTGGTGAGCCTCCTTTTCTCTAAGCTAAATACCCACAGCTTCCTCAGCTGCTCCTATAACTTACTCTCTAGACCCTTCACCAGTTTTGTAACTTTTCCAAAGTTTTAATTCAAGCTGCCAAGAAAATCGGTCAGATTTAGATATGCCCTTGCTGTTGATATTTGTCTCATCATCTATGAAAAAGTCTTAATTAGTACTTAATTGGCATGCTAACTCTTGAATTCATATAGAGTACTACCAATCTGTAAATCAAAATCCAGAAAAAGGTACTTAAAAAGTAAGTATGGTGGCTGACTTAATCTCCCGTAATATGCAAGGCTACTTCTTTAAACAGAATTGAAAAGTACCAAAAGGCTGGGAGTAACAGCCTTGTGACATGGGAAGAATTAGACCATCGACAATCTTTTCACTCCTTTTGTTAGTGTTAAGCCTTGTCAAAACAGACAGCAGTCTCTCTTCTTGAGCATCAGACCTATCTACAGTATCTACATGTAAACTTTCTGCAGAGATAATGGCACTCCTCCGCACTTTTTTCATTTTCCTCACATATATGATGAGCACACCAGAGAAATCATAACCTTGTACATTTGCTCTTCTTCAACATTGTTGTCAGTCGGCTTAATTTGGCAGCAAACTATCAAAAAAAGGACTGATTTTCCTGTATTCGTGTAGTGCACTATAACTTCTACATGTTTTTATTAGCTGCCATACCTTACAGTAATTTCTGGGAGAACAGTTGGATATTTCAATGGTAAAGCACAGGCCATAGAGAATTCCACCTAAAATCAAACGGGTAAACGTTCAGTTTAGGAAAGTACAAAAATCCCACAAAATAATAAAATATAAAAAGGAGTTTACAGTACCATAGAGGCGTAAGGGACCTCTGCCTTTACATTCAGTACAAACTGAACTTTTGAAGACAGTGCCTCTTCAGACCCACTTTCAACAGAGTGTTTCAGTTCAGCTAGAGCCAGCTGGTCAGTCACAGCGAACTCCTCCTCATAAGGAAACATGCTAGATAGCAAATCTAACTCTGAAATCTGTATCTCAGCTTCTTCTCGGTTAGTCATTTCTGTCGTTCCCTGAGCAATAAAATAAAAAAAAAAAAAAGGGAAAAAAAACATGGCTTGAATAGGGGACAGAGTTCGTTAACCACCTCTATGCAAATCATATTAATCAACATAATTTACTCATATCTGCCGGGCGGTTTACACACGCAGACACGCAGTGGCAGCCCAGGCGGCTTGCACTGACCTGAGGTGGGACAGGGCTTGGTGTTGTCACCACAGCAGTATTTCACACGCGCGGCTGTACGCTGTGGCAGGCACAGAGCTGGGCGTTACCACGACGGGACAGCGTCCTCTCCTCAGCGAGCACACCTCACCTCACCTCACC